TGGAGGTCCATGGGACTTAGTATGTAAGGTCATTAAGTACCTTAATTGGGGCTATAAGTAGCCATAAGCAAAGTTACCTTACTTATAAGCCTAGTTCCTAAGTCCCACGATCCTCTAAGTAGCCTAGACAGAAGCGAAACCTTTAGGTTAATTATAAGGTTTAGGGTTTAGCGTGATGATAATGAGTGCATCCAAAGGTGTATCAGCGCATGCTCAGCTGCTGAGACGCCGAAACCCCAAACCTAGATTAAATGGAAGTTTCCAAAAATAGGGCCCACTTTAATACTTTGAATAGTAGGATCCTTATTTTAAGGACCCCAAAATAAGGTACCCCTAAATTTCGGAAACTCCCATATCACTGCAAGCCTTTGCTACCAAAGTCTCGAACCCTAACGTCCCCGAACACTGAAACCTTCGCAGCTTCAGAAAACAATGCAGAACACCGAAAGAGAGGCACCTCGAATTCTATCAAAGCCCCTACTAGCATCTCGAAGTGACCTCCGAAAAGCAGGAGAACAACTCTCTTATGCCCTATAATTCAACAGCCCTCAACAATTCTGGCGGCCAACACTTCAAGGATCATTGGACTTAGTAACTAGGGTTATAAGTAGGGTAACTATACTTATAACTACTTCTACCCTCAATCAAGGTACTTATAGCCTTACTCACTGAGTCCCATAAATCCCTTATAGTACCCTTATAGATCCCTTTAAGGAGCCCTTTACGGAGCCCCTGTATATAACCTTACTTACCAAGTCCCGCCGAAAGACTTGGCAGCCTGAACCATCGAGGACCAGCGTGCCTCGCCGCTAGCCTTCACAACTACTGCAGGGGCTTTTAGGGAGTTACCTCTACTGTTTTGGGAAGACTGCAGGGGCTTTTAGAAAGTTTGGGGGGGTTAGGGTTAAGGGTTTGTAGATACTATGTTGATCTATTCTGGGGTTTTTTCCCATATTTATGGTATAATGGGCCCCAAAGCCCTATTCTTATTGTGGCGGCCCCTATATTATCTACCTTGCCCCCTACAAGGTTTTAAGAGGGTGCAGGGCTTCGCCAGCAACCTGAAGCTTCAAAGAAGCTTTCGTCGGGCCTGTTGGGTCCAGGGTTGAGGGTTTTATCGGCGTACTACAGGGGCCTAAATAATTTGAATAGGGTCTTGGGGTCTGTTTTACTATAACGATGATAAGGAACCCCCAAAGCCCTAGTCTAATTATTAAGGCCTCTATATTATGGGTGTCCGGCTGGAGGCCCGGATACTTCTTTTGGGTAGTTTGGAGTACAAACTTACAGCTTGAGTCATCCGTGCAGGCATTGCAATATCGCGTAAACCAACCTTCATACTGCATGAAATGCATAACCCCCTCCTCCCCGCTTACAGGTCCAAATTCTGAAATCAGCTCTTGGCTTGGGCAGTCTCCTTTCAAAGCCTTAACCCTAAACCCTAAGACGTATTAAGGAGCCCAGAAGCCGATTCTAATCATTCAGGCCCCTATATCATCTTACCCTTATACTATCCCCTTAAAGACCTCTTTAAAGGAACCCTCTTTTTTCTTTAATTCAGGCCCTGACGGTAGTTGCCCCTAAACCCGAAACCCGGTTGCGAGGCGCCGGGCGCCTGCAGCAAAGTTGCTCAGAGTGGCTCCCGACTTTGGGGATTCAAGCGGGAGGCAGCCGGAGGAAGCGGCGGCAGCTTTTGAGACCTTTTGGGGGGTCTTTTGCTTCGGGTCTCTGAGTCGTTGAAGGCTGAAGGGTTGAGGCTTTGGGGTTTCAGGGCTTTAAAGGTTTGTGGGTTGGGTTTGAGAGGTTTGGGGGGGGGGAGGTTGGGGGTTTTGGTTCGGGTTTGGACCTGTGCCGCGAACCGGGGGCCTACGTTGCGGTGGATGACGGCTCGGAGGACCCGAAACCCCACACGCGAATAAAACTCAATTCGGCAGGGTGGTTCAGGGCAGCGGGTTCATAGCTGAGGCAAAAAAACGCAAGAGCTGTGACTGATGATGTCGAAGAGCCATGTTTGAACCATCGGGTGTGGCTCTGCCACCGGCGTCCATGGCTCACACCAAGGTTTGGGGTTCAGAGAGTTTAGGGAGCTTACAGAATCTGGTGTTCAAAGAAGCTGCCACACATCGCTCACCGTTGTGCTAGCAGGAAGGGTCTGGTTCTTTCAATTGTTGCACTCTTGGTGACTCTACTTAGAGAGGATCACGGGACTTAGTAATTTGTGTTATAAGTACAGTAACCTACTTATAACCCCAATGAAGGTAGGTATAATCTTGCTTACTAAGTCCGGTGAAACCTCCAAGTAACCTATATGTAATAACCCTATAGTATATACTCCTTCTAGAATCCTTTATAAGAACCCTTCGCAAGGAACCCCAAAACAGTGCTCTTTCAAGACTTTGCCTTCAAAAATATTACAAAACCCTACTAAAGTTACTAAAGACCCTTTCTAGCAGCCCTTACAGACCCTTTTAGGCCCCTATAACCATTAGTACGCCCCTATAAGCCCTATTGCCTTACTCTTTATAAAGACCTGTAGTATAGTATAGCTTCTGAACCCCTTATAGTAGCCCTTAGAGAACCCTTCTAGGTCCCTTTTAGCCGTAACTCTTTACACAGACCTGGGACCTCAAAAGAGGGTGGCTCTTGCTCGACTCCAAGCTGGCAGCAATCACGCGGCATTTTCTGGAGAAAGTCCGATGCATGTTTCCCCCTCCTAGGGCCCTAGGGTTGATGATAGAAATCCTAGGGCTCCTTTAAAGGGATCTATAAGGGTACCTTTAAGGGGTTCCTTTAAACGATCTAGGGTACTATCTAAAGCAACTACAACGGCACTAACAGTAGCGAAAGAACAATAACAGCAATAGCAACAGCAAGCAATGACAAACTTAGCAGCAGCAGTGGCAAAAACAACAACAAGAACGCCACCACACACCACCACCACCACCACAAGAAGAAGAACAACAACAGCAACAACAAAATTTACAACAGCATCAGTCATGATGATGGTGATGATAAGATTACTCCAATCAGCACTTTGTTTGGTTTACGATTCAGAGCTGGATTCAAGTGGAGTGTTGATTGCATGACTCCAAACATGTCACGACAAGAACCGGCACTGGCTGCAACTGTTGCTCTAAGCGCCCTTTCTTTTTCCACGCGCAGCGGGCCAAAGGGGTTACAACACCCGGTTGCAGACACAGCTGGCTGCGAGTTATCTTCGACGAACAAGAATGCACATTACGCGAAATCTTCACACTGCTCACTGAGAGCCCCCGCAGGATAAGCCGCATTTCGTTAGCATGTAATTAGAGTCTATAGTGTTTAACCGGCATGGATCGGAATTTAACAATTCTTTGTACCAGTACATTAGCATTTAACCAGCTTTCTAACAGAATTTATCATGTAATTCGCATTTTCTAGCCTACAATAACGATCTCTCCCTCGCTGTGTTTCGATTTTTCCTAGGCAGTACTTTACTATCCCCATAGGGGAAATGATGAAAGCAAAGGAAAGCGGGTGGGTTAATGTTAATGGATCCCTTACTATCTTCTCAGGGAGGCTTACAAAAATAACATTGAAGGGAAAAGGAAGGCAAAGGACATGGACAAGGAACAAGGACAGGAAAGGAAGGAAGGGCGGATAAACATCTTGTTGCTGGCGTCTGACACACCATTGGTACCAAGAGGGGTGAAAAGTGGCATAATAATGTCGTATGTGACTATATTCGATTCTAGGATAATACTACCATATTGTATTATGCTCTGATCTTTAGAAGACGAAGCCAGAAGCTGATTCGTTCTCCCCCTTCCTATTCCTCCTTACCTCGCCTCTGCCCCGCTTGCTCTGTCCTTTTACTCTTCTTTTCTCCTTCGCCACCTGAATCTCCTGGAGGAAAACTGAAGAGCGAAGAGGAAAATAGGAGCATTCGGCAGGTCCTCGCTTGTCGTTGAGGGGAGCGCAAAGAAAGGACAATGAATACGGGACGACACTCTCTCTTCCCCATTCTCCCGCTCACCTCCGTGCTATCCTCCGAAAGTGGATATGGACAGTAAGTACATGGGCGGGAGGAGTAGGTATCACAAATCCCAACATACGCATTTTCATTTTTATCACTTTTGAAGGAATCAAAGCGTTTAAGTACTAAGACACATGTTCATGGTCGGCTAAGTTGGGCTTGGCTGGGCTTGCCTTGGCTGTTTTCTTTTTATTGAGGAATAATGACTTGGTTTGCAATGTGATGCTTTAATACATAACAATATATAACAGTATACGTATATATATATATATATATATATGTTAATATATACGAACATAAACATATGTGTATATATATATATATATATATACATACATATAAAGTTGTAATCATATACGGTCACATAGTCATATATATAGTGATATATAACAGTAGCGTATATATATATATATGTACATATATATATATACACGTAGATATGAATGTCCTGAAACCAAAGTCGTCTTACCTCTTATTCTCATGCTAGGCTCTCCTTCATGGTTCCTTTCCCCATCACAAGGTGGGTTATCAAAAGTAATTCCACACTCTTACGCGATTTCAAGACTTCCGTTAGAACGTGCCCCTAGTCTGGCCTTCTGTGGTGCAAGCTCGCAGCCGGTGTTGGGCAGTGGTGCTCGGGCTTGATTGCGAGGCACATGTTCACGCGCTTCTGGCGTGCACTACCCTAAACGCAAAGCCGCTAACCCTTAAACGGTGGCCATTCAACTCATGCTACTAGTACTACTACGACAACAACAACCACTCCTGCCACTATCATTTCTACTCCTACTCCTGCTGTTCAATACTGTCACAGTTATTGTTGTTACTCTTAGCGTTTTGCATTTTCACTATGACGATTCTAGTGACTCTAAGGATTCGATCTAAAAAGCCGCGAGAGCACCCTGTTCGATATTCGCGCTGGTGTTGTTGCTATTCCTAGCGTTTTCTCATTGGGATATGATGAAAATGACTCTGAGGATTCGATCTAAAACCCGCAAGGGCATGGCTGGTCATGTGGGCCGGTTCTGATCGCATTCAGCGGGTAGCGCTCGATCCCGCCGCCCTTGGCCTGTCGTTCATCGTGTCCGAAGTCATAGGGCACGGAGCATGGAGGGGCTTAAAGATATGTAACTTCACTAAAATATGCATACTTACTCACCCAGACTCCCCCATAACCAGCAAGACTAGTATTTCCAAACCAGCCAGAGGAGCTTTGATGAGGCTCCAAGCATATGGAAGCAATTCGGGATGCGAAGGTGCCCCACCCCACAAGACCTCGTGGCCCACATAGTATCCGGAGCAGGACCAGTTGATGAAGAGCGGAAATCCTTTCCATACTTCTACATGCCACTGGGAGAAGCGACAACCCCGCTCCACGCAAATGGCGTCCTTAATGGCCATCCTTCTCAAGGATACTGGATCTGTAATGTTTCGACTTCCATCCTCAAAGACCCACTTGGAAGATGGATCGTCGCTCTCCATCCACCAATTTGTGAAATACAAACTACGATTCTCATCGCCTCCCTGCAAATTCGTCCTTAAGTTGTATTTATCGAAATAACCTATGGAGGTCGGATTGAGGGCAGTGTCATTGCTGAGTGCAATGATATAGAAGTTCCCGTGGTTCATCGAGGTTGCCAAAGCTGACGGATCAGGCGTCGTCACCGTGTCGCAAATCGAACTGTTCTTATTCTTTGAGACCCGTGCGACATGTTGCAGCAGGCTCTGCTGAAACTCAACTTCCCCGCTCTCCGTCTCGCAAAGCTCGGCAGCAGCCAAGCTGATGCACGCACACACCAGAAGCCGCGCCATGGGAAACATACTGATGATCGGTACGGTTTGGCACTCGAGCACCACGGCGAGCATTTTGCAACATCTTGTGCTCTTTACGCAGCTGCTCAGTGAGTCTGACTTGGGGGGAAGAACAGCAGCAAGATCGCTTCCGAAACTGATAAAGACTGTCAAAAGCCCGCCCTCCTCAGCGTTTAAAAACTGAGCAAAAGATCAGGCAAAACCAGTGCGTCCTAGCTGACTCGCGACTCGCAAATCCACTTTTGGCATGCTGGCGGCAGCATCCAGACATGAAAGAACCACAAGTTCGCCAGGCTTCACAATGACATTGTGGCCTAACCGGAATGGCCAAGTCTACAGCGCTTTGGCCGCTAACTTCGGCAGTCTCAAGCTACTGGGACCGTGCACGGTCTAATTTCATACCGGCAGAGAACGCCTGGCACACATGCACCTGATCATTGCGCTTTGGCCCAAGTTTGCAGGTTTTGCCACCACTCAAACTCAAAAGTCGGGCTTTGGGTAGCCAAAAGCTTCGTAGTCTGCCTTGAAATACCTCAGTGCAGCAAGGCTTTGCTTTCATGCGGTTGATGATATACATCCTGCATTACCATTATGACCCTAGACTATGGGAGTCTTGGTATATTACTTATTATGGGTAATGCAGGATGTATATCATCAACCGTGCCTTCCTTAATTCCGCTGTGGCAGCCATGGTCGCAATGCCAGGTCTGGCGGAAGCTACTAGTGCTGCTACTGTTGCTGTTGCAGCTACTCTGCTACCGTTACAATGAATGCTATGACGCTTAGCTGTTACTGCTGCGCTGCTACGATTACTACAACTCTTCTATGACTATTACGCGTGCAGTTGTTGAATAACGAATCTGGCTTCAAAGTGTTGGCAGGTCAAGGTGTATTGTGCGGAGTCGAAGCCCTGCCTGAAATCAGCACAGCCTTACAATCAGTACCACAACTCAGAAATGAGATACCATGATTTCATCAGGGTCGAGTGGCATTCTATCTCCCAAGACTGTCGCCCCACGCAAAACAAAAACCACACAACAAATGCACCAACTTAAGCGGATGCCCGCGGCCCGGCCGCTCGTACACGGCTGCTTTGGTTTCCGGTTTCAGGTCCGCCACTGTCATGTTGCAGCTGTCTGTCCAGCTGGACATCAGATCTTCTTCCGCCAGTTCCACATTGCGTCCAAATTCTGCCATAAGTGCATTAAACCTGGCACAGGATCGAGGACTCGTGTAACGGCCTGACGAGCCTATCGTGTGCTGCCCTGTGTTCGAACAAAAGCCCTCGTGCCCTCACCCAAAACAAGCCCTCGAACCCAATAACAGGCTGAACTGTATACACACCCACCACTTACCTTGAAGGTTCATGCAACAAACCTTTATGTCTCATACGTCAAGAGAGAGGAATGAAGTGGGGCCACCATTGAGGCCTGGCCTGCCCTACCAAGGATCGTTTCAGGATAATTACTGGTGCTTATAAGGGAACGGAATAGATCGCTGTCACCATCCAATGCCTAAAGTACCCAGATTTCACCCCGACTGCAAAAGAACCAGTAGAGAAAGGTTGCACCGGACGCAGACAGGAGTCTCCTGTTCGAGGTTCTCCTGATGCAAGATGCGATTGCAATACTGGTGAGTCGCGGCGGTCTTATTGTTCACGCCATATATGCTCCTGAACTTCGGCCACTGCTCAGCCAAGATGATCGCATCTTTGTCTGACAAAGGCTACTCTCTCAATTTGCACACTGGGAACCGTTTAGGAAAGGAAGGAAAGCATACAACAGAATCTGTACTTCAACACCAACCAGATACTCTCAAATGTGAGCAGCCCAAGCAAACAACACAGGAGAGGGCACAAGAGCAAGGGTGACATTGAAGACCTCAACCTCAGGGGCTGGATGCCTGCTAAAACACAAACCCAGAACCCTAACCGATGAACGCAAAACCTTGCACCTTGAACCCTACTCGCTAACCTGTTTTGGCTCCAGCTTAGGAGCACAAAACACTTCGAGTTTCGAAGTTCTGGTTTCGATGGTTTCCAAGCTTAGCACGTCTTGTGGAGTTTAGCCAGACGCTTGCTTGCTTCGAGGGCTTGAGGCCTACATGTTTAACGGAAGATCCGGAATGTCAACTCCTTGTCTTCTTCCAACAGCAAGTCAGGTGTCGGGAGTTCAGTGCAGTTAAGCAAGACTATCCCTTAGCCGCCCTTGGAACAATACCCTTCTGATCCAAATTTGAGCTGAGTTGCTCAACTTGCAGCATGAAGAAGCACTCGTGCTCGTAAGGCCCTAGCGACGGTACAGGCTCCACACCATTACGGCTGTGCGGCTCGGGTCTACATCCAACTCAACAATTAAACTGGGTTCAAGTGAGAACACACCTTGCGCAGCTGCGCAGAAAATGCAGATACACTGTGGCATGGTAATGGACTGGTGACGCTGCTGCACGACGAAACTGCCGAAATCACAAGTATGTACCGAACTGACCGTATGGCACCTAGTTCTGGAATGCTTGCTGCTTGCCCAGCGTCGGGTAGGCAAGTCGGACAGGAGCTCCTGTGCTTTCTTGTCCACGGACTCGGGATCACACTCCTGAGTGCCACCAGAGACAGAACACGCACAACACGGAAACGGAAAAGCTGGTCGAACCCTTCCTGCTTCAGGCTTCAAAATCAGACAATCAGAGAGACGCTGCAATTGTCGCGCCAAGCGGCGTAATAAAACATCTGGAAGCCACTCCAGAATCGGGCCAAAGGCTCACGCACAACACAAAAAGTAGTGCAGCGATCCTCTTGGTAGTACAGAGCCACAGCAGAACCTTAGAACCCGGATCTGATCCCAGTACGTTGTTGCTCTATCTTGCTCTTCTGATGTGGGAGTTTCCGACAATAGGGGACCCTAATGTAGTATCCTAAATAGTAGGATCCCTATTATAAGGACCCCAAAATAAGGTACCCCCTAAGTTTCGGAAACTCCCCATGTATTCCGGCCACCTGGGGCCAAACAGACCCAGCGGCCTTTGCCAGCCTCGGCGCCTCATGAACTTCACCCTTAAAGTAAAAGCCAGAAAGTTGGAATATGATAATCCTAAACCCTTTATGGTAAATTATAGGGTATCCCACCCTGAAACCATAGTCCAACTTTCTGGAGTTCCCTGTACACCTTTACACACGGAACCCCGAAGCAGTGTTCCAAACAACTGACCGCCAACCTTTCGCGCGCTTAGGCATTCATAGTTTATAGACATGAACTCAGAGTTGTGCATCGTGATCAAACAATATTGACATGCCCAAGGGCATCAACAAGGCGAGGTCGTTGATCAATGATGTTGCTACGCCAGCTATGCCCCTTAGTTTTGCCCTACAAGGCTCAAAGCTCAATAAACTAAAGCTGCTGCGGCACTCCGGGAGGGTGGTGTGTGCACATCCTCGCATTGATCCCTCCCTCCAGGCGGCAGCCAATGGTATAAACTTCCGTGCAGCGCCTTGAAAGGCGTGTACACCGACTCGCTTGAATGTGTGAAATCAAAAAGATTTCCCATGTCCTCGGGCTTGGGACCACGGGGGTCAGCATGGGCCAAGTATCATTGAGGGCACTGAAACACGTCCACCGATGTTAACCCGAAGCTTCCCTGGCTCCTTCTCATCCATCTGGTCGGCTTCGACAATTCGCTCATATGTGCGCAGCATGTAGGAGTCGAAAGCCCGCTGTCGCGGAGGGAGGTGCAGGTTAGCCTGGGTTCTTGTTAAGGGATCTAGCTTAAGTTGCCGTAAGAAGGAAACCATACTATTTCATATCGATCCCTATTATGGTAACTTAAACTGAGTTTCTTCTAAGAGGGCTAAGCTGTCTCGGAGAAAACCTTACATCTCACAGCCTGGAACGACAGAAACGTAAGCCGAAAGCCCCGATCTCAGAGCTAAATCCAAGCCCTGCAGCAGAGTCGATGCTGGTGCCCCCGGTCCTCAATGGGACAGTTGGGCTTTAAACCCACAGTAAGAACTCTTTGATGGGGGTACGTAGATACATGTGTTCCTGTGCCGGTAGATACGTTAGTAAGTTAGTGTGCACGGACGTACATCATGAGAGGCATGCATGCAGGGAGGTAGGTATGTATGTGTGATGTATGCATGTACGAAGGTCGGGGGAATGTATGCACGTCCGTTGGGTACATTGTAGCTGTGCTAGGCTTGTAAGATAATGTAATGTAGAAAGGATACTCTCGAGACAATGTTGTGGGGAGGGATGCATGCATGTATGTATGTATTGTACTTACACATCCATACTGTATGTGTGTGTGTGTGTAAGTACGTACCTGAGTTGGCACGGCGTATGCAGGCATGTTAGTACGTAAGTACAGGGAAGTACCTGTGTCCAGGACAGGGTCGATACATAAGTCGGTAGTTTGGTAGGTAGGTATGTCCGCCTCGGGGTTGTTTGTGAAAACCCAGAAACCTACAGCCTAAGCTCCTGAACCCCGGACCTACTACAATTATCTTGGGCCGTTGTTCTCCAATAGCTCTCAGGAAGTAAGCACATGCGCCAAAAATACTGCGAGAGGAAACCGGTACAACTATGGCACTAAACACTAAACTCGTAGAGGTCATCGTCTTACATGCCTTTATTGTTTCCCAAAGACGACTGACTGCATAACATGGTAACGTCCCAACTGAAGACCAAGTGCTGCATAATTTTGGCCAGGTTGCTTGGGTATGTGCATGAAGCGTAGGCAAGCTTCCGCCTGAGGTGACCTGGGAGTTGTGCTCAATACAGCGAAGAAAAGCTCCGCAACAAGTCCAAGTCCTAGCGGGTGGAAATAACCAGGAAAAGAACAGGTGTCGGGTACTGGCTCTTCTCCATGTCGTGTCTTTTAACTCTTCTTAGTGCATCATACTGACGGCACCTCTCCAGGCCATATACACTTTCGCGCGTTCGCGCTTCACCTGAATCCATCCCGAGTCTCAACGAGAGGCAGTGCGCCTAAGGACAGCTGGGCTCCAAACACGGTAGGTGAACAAGTAAAGAAGTCAGCATATGCCTTTTGCAAAACCATCCTCTCCCACGCGCCAGCTTTCATCATGAGCGCTGGTTCCGGATGCTTTGTGTTTTTAGACAGCCTTGTCTAAACCGCTGTCCTCCTCTTCTTCTTCTCCTCCTCCTCCTACTACTACTACTACTACTACTACACCTAGCTACCTACCGACCTAGCTACCTGCCTACCTACCTACCGACCTACCTACTCCTAAACTA